TCAATTGTATGCAAACCTCAAGAAGTGTATATTTGCAGCAAGCGAAATACCACTTCTTGGGTGCATCGTTGGTAAGAACGGTGTACGTCCTGATCCCGAAAAGATCAAGACGATCACCGACTGGCCCGTGCCGGTCGATGTCAAAGGTCTTCGAAAATTCCTTGGGCTAGCGGCGTATTTGCATAAGTATTCACGCAATTACGCCGAGATGACTGTACACCTCTCTCGTTTGTTGAAAAAGAACGAGAGGTGGTTATGGAACGCTGAATGTCAACGCTCCTTTGAGGGTATCAAGCAGAGCTTGATACAATCCCCAGTCCTAGCAATAGCCGATCAGGACAGGCCATTTCATGTGGTCTGTGATGCCAGCGATTTCGCAATCGGCTGTGCATTAATGCAGTACGACCTTGAAGGCGTTGAACGCGTCGTCTGCTATCAGTCGCGTCAGCTGCAACCAGCTGAGCGGAACTATCCAGTGCATGACAAGGAACTCCTTGCCATGAATTATGCACTCGCGAAGTTCAGAGTCTATCTATTAGGAGATAGACCCTTCGTTGTTTACACTGACCATGCGTCCTTACGCACGGCAGTGAACAGCCCGCACCTTTCACAACGAATGGTGCGGTGGTTGTCATTCTTTGCAGAATACAACTTTACGGTCGAGTACAAACCAGGACGACTTAATGTCGTCGCTGATGCACTCTCACGTCGTCCCGACTTTGAAACAGTCGCGAAACCCAACAGTGAGACAGTCACTGTTGCGGTTATGACGTCCTCAGTTCCATCTACAACGTTGTATGATGATGTGAGGCGGGCATACGCCCAAGATGGTGAGATAGTGAAGTTGTTGTCACATCTCTCCCAACCATCTCGAGAATCGTTGAAACGATTGTCGTCTGCGTATCGATCTGCATCAGATCGATACACTACTCGTAACGGTTTACTGTACTATACAGCCGTTACTGGTGACACACCACGTGTTGTCATTCCAGATGATACTGATCTGCGTTTGCGGATCATGTTCGAGTATCACGATGCTCCTATAGGAGGACATCGTGGCCGAGAGAAAACATATCTCACGGTAAGTCGAGACTTTTACTGGCCCCGCCAGTATCAGTTTGTGCGAAAGTATGTTCGCGCATGCGAAGTCTGCCAACGAGTGAAGTCAAGTCCTTCACTGCGTGCACCTTTACAGCCTCTACCGGTTCCGGCTGAGTGCTGGGAATCCATCTCAATGGATTTCGTCTTCGGGTTACCCAAAGACGCACGCGGGAATACGGGTATTCTCGTATTTGTTGACAGATTAAGCAAAATGATACACCTTGTGGCTGTACCAGAGACAATCACGGCAAGTGGCTGTGCTTGTGTCTTTATTGACACCATCTTCCGACTTCATGGGTTGCCCCGTGAACTCGTATCAGACAGAGATCCACGATTCACTGCTGATTTCTGGCGTTCCGTGTTCAAATCACTCGGAACGCGCTTGAAGATGTCAACATCTGATCATCCAGAGTCAGATGGTCAGACGGAACGTGCCAACCGTGTCCTTGAAGAGATACTTCGAGGATACGTACACTCCTTTAAAAGTTGGAGTGAGTTTTTGCCAATGGTAGAGTTTGCCATCAACAACTCGGTGCATGCGTCCACGACGCATACACCGTTTTACGTGAATGGCTTGCGCCATCCGCGTGTACCCACCTTACTAGAGTGTAACTCTGGTTTAAGGGGGGGAGGGACTCGCGCGAGCAAAAACCGATTTGGTTCACGCTCATCACGCTCTGACGAAGAAGTCATTGCGTTTGATGCCGATATCGATAACATCGATATCGAAGAAGATGATGCCAGTGAGAGTGCGGAAGCCCTCACTGAAGACAATGATCCCAGTGAGAGTGCGGAAGCCCTCACTGAAGAAAAGGTTGTTGTTGCTGCAGTGCGCTCACAGCACACTGAAGCTAACGAGTCATCAGATGAGTTCATACTGGCTCGTGAAACGGTAGTCCGTTTTGTGCAAGACTCCATCGCCGAAGCGGTGGATAAGCAAAAGCAAAACGCTGACAAGAATGGAAGGGCAAACACTCTTTTATTTAATAAAGGTGACTTAGTCCTACTGTCTACGGTTAATCTACCAAAACATGTAGTGACTAACTTGGGTAGCAGTAAACTACTACCCAAGTACATTGGCCCATTTCGTGTATTGCACCGCCTAGGCAATGCATACACGATCGAGTTACCACGTAAGATGCGAACGCATCCCACGTTTTACGTTGGTCGGCTTAAGCCGTACCATCAGTACGCTGCTTCTTCCGATGAAGAACGCCCTTGCGCTCAAGCATCTCGCAGAGAGCCTTGTGCTCCCGATGGTGGGCATCAACAAGGGTCTGAAGAGCAGTTATCTCAGCCCGAGACCGATCAACAATCCCACGAGCTACCCTTAGCTCGTCACGAAGAGATGTCAGAGATCTCTCGTTCTCAAGCTGAGCAAAGGCAAACTCAGCTCGATGCTTCGAGGCAGTGTCCGCCATTTGGAGACGCCTGTCCCGCTCATGCTCGAGATCGTCGCGTAACCCTTGCGTTACGCGATCAAAGAAGCTCTCGGGAACACACCGATCCACATGATCGTGTGGAGAGCGTCTTTCCTCCTCCTCCACCTCCATTAGAGGACTCTCGCGGTGGCCAGCGCTATCTAGTTGAGCAGCTGTTGAACCACCGCGATGTGAACGGACGTCGGACGAGTTACCTCGTCCGGTGGCGCGGCTATCCCCCGTCCTGGGATTCTTGGGAGCCCCGCTCCCAATTGATGGTTGACGTACTGGGTCTGGTCGAGCAGTACGACGCGGCACATCCTGTGCCGCAGAAGGACCGCCGGAGAAAGTCTTCCCGGCACGGTCGTAAAGGGATTTCAGGTTGTCAATCCCTTCGTACATCTCAGTAGAGACACGTACGCGCCACCACGGGCTGGTAAGGAGGTAAGCCTCCTTAGGTGCTCGTGCAGAGTTGTTCACACAACATGGGCACGAGTCTCCCCAAGAGAGGCAGGGTAATCCTTTCTCCCTTGACAGACGATGCAGCTTATAGCGTGCACCTGTCGGGGTTCGCTTTTCAAACTTATCACGAGCTTTGATAAGTTTGTCGTTCCAAGCGTCACGACCTACATCCTCGAGATTATGGATGTAGGCGTTCCACGCCTGAAGTAGTGAGGGACCATCACGTTTGTGATTCCCACTGTACCATCGATGTCTGAAGAAAGCATCGATGAAGAACTCATGTTCAGCGCGATAGTCTTTCGCGCTGGGGTCAAGGTGATGAATCCTCGACGAATCGAACAATCGTGTTCGATAACGATCACTCGTCGTCGCCGACAAGTGATCCATGACAGATTTAGGAGGCATCCATGCCTTCTTTTCTGGAGCGAGACGCAACACATTGCGGTCCCGCTCTTCCTGCGACGTGCCGACAGAAGTACTGGCACCTCGCTGTGAAGTGGTGTCCATTGGAGAAACGACACCACTATTAGCGCCCGAGTCTCGCGACCTCGAGCGCCTTCGCTTCGGCGATGTTTCATATGATTCATCAGATGAACCAAAGATGCTGCGACGCAAAGCATCGTCCATGCCACGCTTGGCAGGCGGCTTGGATTCAATTGCCGTCGATACGGATCCGTCATCCGTATCAGGAGAGTACGAGACACCGAGCTCGTACTCTGTGAAGACACGAGTGTCTTCATGACCAGCGCCTGCATCACCAGGTGATACAGGCTGAGTCGATTCAGCAACCGATGGGATATCAGTTGCTGTAGTTTCTGCTTCGGCGTCCGCACAGAGACGTGCAGACGCGCTCTCGGCGGCCTTGCTCGCGCATCGCATGGGCTTGTTTACCATGCGATGAGATGTTGGAAAGTGGACGCGGACCAACAAGTGCAAACCCCGTCCCAAATGATTTGGGACGAGTATCCATTTAGTCAATCAGTCACTAAAGTGACTGATGGTTAAGGGGGGTGATGTAACGGGGTGAATCGTTACATAACAATTTATAAGAAATTGTTAATAGAATATAACTATAAGAGTTATATTCTCAGAATATTGTCATAAGGACAATATTCTGTAGCACTTCCAAGTAGTTCCTAATTGGTTGATATAGGCCATTATATCAACCAACGAAGACGCGCCACGACAGACGCACGCAATGAGTGGTGAGCAGATAACTGATTTACACATTTGTATTTAGACATAGTTAGATGAAGATAAATAGTGATTTATTGCAGACATTAACTATTATAAATACAGTTCTACTTTTTACTCTAACCGAGTACTCGCTTCTTCTTACCGTCTTCCTCTGCACGTACGAGTGTACGTGAAGTTACGAGGCACCGCCTTATTCTGTTATCAGAATAAGTAGCTTGTACTGTCACCAGTACAAGCTTCAGGGTGCCCCGCCGTTACAACCACCGCATTAACTGACGTGCGGTTTCGAAAGCTTTCAAAAGATAAACCACTTCATTTGATATTTTTTGTAATCCAATTGAAAAACTCCCAGAATCTCATCCGTGATTCACCTCACTCGTCACGCTGCACGCTTGTCCGTCATTGCATTTCCTGCTTTAGTTGCACTATTGACTGCAAGTAGTTGCTGCTGCATTAAAGATGATCGATCACGTAGATCATATAGACTGACATCTGGATCGTGAGCGAAGTTTCATCTGATTTGTCCAATTAATTGGCCACACATTCTTCCCATATTTACAAATGTACAGCTGAATTTTATTAGTATTTGGGTACACACATGACAATGGACCAGGACACCAATGACATTGATGAAAAAGAAGAAGAGTTGCAATATAAGCCCGGCATCCAGAGCTCATGGCTTTAACCATTCATTTCATTCATTCATGCATTCATTCATGCATTCATTCAATCATTCATTCGTGTACGATTCAATCGAAACGATGAACTACGGAAATTCCACTCAGCACAAGCTACCACTAAGTGTGGACGTAGTATGCTTTAGAAGATGGAAAGAGCCGTAGCAGCGACAGTGACAACCGACACGACGAGCGTAGCCACCGAAAAAGTGGCGCTGGCACCGCTAGCACCGCCTTGCGTGCCATCGGTAGTCGTCGATGCAATACCGCTGTCCTCAGAGTTCGACGGTTTCCGCTTTTCACCAACTGCAGTGCTTGGGGAGAGGTGCTTGTAGCTGTTCGCCTTCACGCCATTGCATACCGGCTGCGAGATCGTGCACTCGAGAATGGGGACTGCGACAAGTATATACGGGCACGATTAACGAGACAGCACGTCAGCTCTCCAACCATCAAAATACAGCATCGATGCAGTCAGTACAATGAGTAAAAACGTACCCTTGGGCGTTGGCGGCAGCTCGCTCGAAATGTTCTTGGGGCATGACAAAATCGTGTCGCGCGTTGGCGTGTAGCTGTCGTGCTTGACGGTCGAGTTCTTCGTCGTCGTGTACGCTTCCTTCAAATACTCATACTCCGGGTACGGATTGAACTCGCACACGGTCTTGTTGTTGTCGCAGTCGTCCGGCTGGAAGTAGCCCACACCATACTTGCCTGCATCGCCGGTCTTGACCAGAGCTACACGGACGCAGAAAGCCAAAAGCAGCAACGGTAAGTGCAACCGTTCAAGCGACCACATCCATAGTCACCGCTTTGTAAGCTTACTCTTGCTTTCCACAAGGTTGGCAACCTCCGTGGTGAACTCAAACACGTTGCCACCCACGATCTCGTCGGTCATCTCCTTCTCCTCGTTCATCCACTTGGCCTACACGCACATGACAGAATCATTGTCAACTCCCATGTCTTCACTACAAGCTCACGAACTCGCTCTCTTCCTCGCTCCTCACATCGTAAAACGTGCGCTGGTTCTCGTAGCCGTCAATAGTGTTCACGCCCTTGTTGCAACCAAACTCGCCGAACATGAGCGGACGTGCATAGCCAACCTTCGCATACTCCGACATGAGCTTCTTCAGCCCGGTAGACTGCAAGTACTTGACGTGGGTCGTCGGATCGCACTCGACGTACGGGTTGAAGCCCATCCTGTTCAGCAGCCACAAAAAAAACGTCAAACACGGTGAGAAAACCTGCCACCGAAACCCAGCCACCCATCTACCCAACTGCGGCTACAACAGCCACTGAATAGACTCCATCAACTATCAACTTGTCGTACCATTCAGCACGCGTGTTCTCATCATCGTCGACCGGACAATCGTAGTAGGCCATCCACTGCTCGCGAGGAGGAATGTCAGCAATGTCAAGACCAATAGGCACCTGACGGACAGACCCCGAGCAGCTCGCAGCGTAACTACGAGTGTCTCGTAAAAAAGCCTTGACACACGGTGCAGTGGCAGTGCCGTCGGCTCCATTCTCCGTCTGCAAGTTGTTCTCGTTGCCGACACTGAAACCGAGCGTGTTGTCGTACACCGCAAACGCATTGTACACCATCTGCGCACGGGTGAACAAATCCTTCGGGTAGCACTTGGGCGGCAGGTAGTCCAACACGGAGCAGTTTTCACACCTGTCCTCCACAGATACAAGCACCACCACAAAGATCAACTCACATCCACAAAGTAGCAGAAAACCAACTACAAGTTGGTAGGCAGGACTCACGGTGCAGTGATGCCCACAAGCACGTAGATTCCGGCTTCCGAGCACGCACACATGAACTTGTCATGTGAGGCACCCGGGTCAATCGAGTACAGTCGAATGGTGTTGACGCCGAGATCCTTGAGCACTTCCAAGTGCGGCTTCCACACGTCCTCGTGAACATCCGCTGCCCAGTCGTAGTTGCCCACTTTGGCCATTTCGCCATCGTTCGGTCGAGGGTAATACGCCATGCCTTTGATCCGGAATTCCAGACCCGTCTTGGAGTCGAACAACTTGTTGCCTTTCGTGATGATCGGAGGCACCCACGCAGTAGTAGTTGGCACCCAGGCCGCAGTCGTGCAAAGCACAGCGACCGCACAAAGGCTGCGGATTCGTGAACCAAAGGCCATTTTAGCTATGGTACTGATCAACTCTCGATCGAGTGTTTCAGTCGATGCGTTCAGTCGCTCCTTGTAGGTAGCGAGTAGCAAGAAAGAGAATGAGGTCGTGGAAATCAAGGCAGATGGAGCTTAACCGATGACGATTTGTAGAGGCGCGTGGGCTGAACATTTCGTCTATTTGTACGTGCTCAACGACCGTTTTCGACGAGGAGCAATGAGAGAGAATCAGTCGATCGTCCCTATGCGACGTTCGCGTTGCGACGACAGGTGGCCCCCGCCACGGACAGGTCGAGTCGACAGAGACTGACGACAGTCCCTACCATCTGGTTGTGTCGGTTTGCAGCACGTGACGGACCCTGAATCGCTCATTTGTCGGGGGACGATCGTCTTCTCATCTTATCGTCTCCAAGTACGACAGCGACCGGGTTGACGTCGTGCAACTAAATCAGTCGCCGCCGACTTCAACGTCCTGCTGTTGCGGCACCGCATACGCCACGCTCGCTATCCGGGTCAGTGCAAGTAATACACGACTGGTGGTAGAACCCCCCCCCGCGTCTACTTGTAGATGTAGAGAGAGCAGACGGATGTCAGTGAGCACACATATGGAAGGACGAGACCAGCAGAAGGTGTTGATAAGATAAGAGACGCCCAATATTGATGGGCTACAAGCAGCCTAAGGTATGTGTAGCTGTTGAGCGATCCACCAGGCGTTCGATGCCAAGCGTTTTGGACGCTGGTGACACTTTTACATTCGCAACGGGACTTCTTCCCGTTACGATGCGACCAGCTGCACTGTCGTGCTGATCGAGACAACGCTGCAGTCAAATCGAAGGAGTGTGTAGAAAACAAATTAGTAACGCCCTAGTTGTACTCGCGAGAGCATGAGAGGTGACACTTACGATATCCACAACAGCAGCAGTTGCAGGGTGCTGACTGAGGTGCGCCGCACGATACACGATATGACCATAAGCTGAGATCCCTATATCGCCTCGGTTGTTCGTTGACAAGTGAACGAGAGGTGCTGAAATGATGGCGACTAGTGTGACTTATTTACGGACGCCTTCATTTGTCACAGTCTAGCTCAATTCATTCCTCGCCTCATCGCTACAACTCTGACAACCTCTTCGATGGATTTTTTCTCTCTCTTTGAGAGCCGACATGGGTGGTGTTGTTCTGGGCATGCCGCTTTTGCAAAAGGCCGTTCAGAGGAGAAACTACGACTGGTGGCATCCTCATTTGATGGGTCATCGCGTTGCGATCGCATACTCCCACCACGACAAGCTTGTGTAACTTTAGCGCTTGTGCCCTGGCTCAATTAGTTTTCGGAAACTTCCGCATGATACTCGCAAACCGATAGTCACAAAATTTCTCATTTGCTGTCGCCGCGTGGAAGGAGCATTCTCGATTTCAACAGATAATCGGGTCGTGGATTTACGTTACGACCTACCAGTGACTTTGGGATTCTTCATACTATATTGGCGGAAGATCAGTAATGCCCTCTGATGTATGGTCGAGGCCTCACAACCTATGCACGCGTGATAGCTAACATTCCCGTAACTCCTGGCATCACATTATGCGATTAGTCCTTACCAAGCTTGCCGTTTCAATCTCGTTGTGGCGGTTACCGTCGGCGAGCTTGCTTGTTTTCGCGCGAGAGGTTGGTCGTAACGAGGTTACACGGCGGTTATTATACCGGTTATGTTGTGTGTCTGCACCGAATAAAGATCGGTGGATCTGAGTGGTACAGTCTTGGTACCACGTACTTACGGTAATACCGCACCTTATCGGTAAGGAATAAGGGATATGACTTTTGTCGTAGGATCGCAGTGCAGAAATCAGTCAGGCAAAATTTCATAGTTTTATTACCGTAGTTAAAGAATAAATAAAGTTCAGTTCCCCTTTTGAATCATTGGACACAAATGCTTAGTAAAGGCGTAAAGTCTTGATGAAAGACCTAGCCTTAAAAAGGCGCTTACTCTTGTTTAACCAGAACTGACTAATTAGTGTGTGATTCTGTAAATTGTAATCCCTTTGGAACCGGGATTGTTAAGCTAGTACGCTTAAACGACTGTACGTCGTTGTTAGTTTGTTATAACTTAAGGACTCTTTGAGTCTAATACTTCCTCCGTCAAGGAGCGCTAAGCAGCTCCGCTACACTTGGTAGCACTTGTAGTCAATCAACACCTGAATCTTCACAGACTAAATCCTCTGCGAGGATAGGAACGGCCATGAGCTTCTCAAAGGCCCAGCAGATCACGCTTGCGAAGCTTAAGGCGTTGATCGGGCACGACCAAGTGGCTCTTACAGTGCCGCAAGGCCAGGATGCACTTCGTGCACGCCTCGATGCCTTCTCGAACTTTGAGTCCACGTTGATCGGACAGTTCCGGGACAATTTAGCTTCAGCCATGCCCACTCGGTATGTTCCAATACCGGACACTGAGTCAAGAACTCGTCCTCTAGTCTTAAGCATCAAGACTTTCGAGGGAAAAGAGGAAGAAAATTTCCGTTTGCTGGTTCGCGAGATGGAGGTTGCCATCGGTTCGGCCTTGCTGCGGTCAGAGCAGCAGAAGCTGGGCCTGGCCCTATCAAAGTAAGGCAGCTGAGCCAGGGAGTGGGCGTTCACTTCCAGCACCTCGATAGAAGCGGCTTTTCCCATCCGGGATATGCTTAAATAGCAGCTATCTCACGTATTTGCTCCACCTGATCAGGCATACCGCGTGCGGTCACGCTTCCTGTCAACCCGCCAGAATAAAAAGGGCTTAGTCGATTATGTCCAAGAGTTGCGAACTCTCATTGCTGCAATGCAACTTAACCCTTACCTGAGACGGTTTTAGTAACCAATTTTAAGGAGGGTCTTCACACTGGCGCTGCCCGTTATGGAACTCATGGGTTCCAATCGAACACGTCGAGCAATACTCATTTAACGGATGGAGCAGAGCCCAACGATCTTAGTCTCGCTGAGAGAGACGAAGAAGCTGAGCTTTACGCTATCGAAAAGCATTCGAACATCCTTAGATGTTGTACGTGCAGGGGCATCAAACATCTTCGCCACAATTGTCCTTTAAAAAGGGCCATACATGCTCATACGAGCTAACCTCCCGTCGCTAACCAACGATCCGATAGAGCGCGGGAAGATGTCGAGTCTCAGTAGGCGCGGGGCGCCCTGCTGGAGAGGATTTAGGCTCTGTCGTATCTTTTAAGCTGATGGAGAGCAGGGCCTAGCCCCAAGTGATTTCGTGAGCAATGTCACGAAGCTTGCGTACAAGCCAGGCTTATAAGTGGCGAAAGCAACGGTGAAGGGCTTTGATAAGACATGATCGATATTGATCGACTACGGAGCTTCGGGAATTTACGTCCGACGTTGTTCCATAAAATTAGTCAGCAGTACGCTGAGGCTCTGAGAACGCGAAAGAATGAGACTATCAACTTTCGCTTGCCGAAAGGTGCATTAGTTACTGTGCCTAAAGTTCCGTTGAACTTAGGCTTGAATTTTCGGACTTTGACAGTAGAGAACGCTGTCTAGTCCTTTACTCGGATGAGGTATGATTTCATCCTTGGTATGGCTTGTCTAGAACTCTATGAGCCATGGATCATTGGAGGTCAAAGACCTTAGGCGCAATGCGCACTGTTCATAGTGAAGCTTTGGAAGATCATGATCCCACCTCTGCTAGGAAACAGAAAAGCTAATGGCGCGAGCCACGGATTGAGATAGTCAGTGTGCCGGAAATCGGTATGGCTGAACTTGTTGAGGTGGGCGGTGTCAAAACGATAGTTGCGAGCAAAGCGTAATGACTGTTAGTGCAATGTCACGTACTTCGTCGAGTGACAATCGTTGTGATGACGAATCACTGAATGCTGAACGCTTTGATGGCAGTAGAGCTAAGGCATCATGGGTTAAAACCCATCTTTTGAGCGTGGATTGGCACGTGATTACCCACTGAGTGATGTTGGCCGTGATAGCGACATACTGAATGTCAGTCAAGACATTTTTGCTGACGAAACACCAAATCATCAAGGGCTACATCCGTTTGATGAGCGTGGAGTGGCATGTAAGTACCCGCTGGGTGGTGATATCGCTGGAAGTGACTCATCACCAGATGTCGGTAAAGACATAGGATCGGAAATAGATCAAATTAAGTTTGATACGATTTGTCGCCTTAGGAATAGTGTAGTTTCCGATGTCGGCACGGAAATCGGTCCTGCTATTGGGATAGTTAAGGTTCACACCGTTCGTCACCCGGGGGAAAGTGTCGTCCCAGATGTCGGTGATGACATCGGCCCTGATATTGGGTAAATTGAGGTTGACGCACTACGTCACTTTGGCGGCGGTATATTTTCGACTGTCGGTAATGACATCGGCTCGGGTAATGAGCAAGCTTGACGGTCATGTCAATCTTGGAGACATTGATGTCGTGGGTGTCGGTAGAGACACCGGCTCTTGTACAGAACACGTTTAAATCTGATGCTACTATTTACCTTAGGAACGAGAAAGATCCAGTCTCTTTGTGACATTCTGTAGCGGAGCTACACAGCTCCTTAAGTCAGATGAATACTTTACGCTTAACGAGCAGCTTAGTTCTAAAGAACTAGACTTAATGAGTCAGCAAGCGTAAAGCTTATGGTCCCTGTTCCAGGGAACAAACGATTCAGTGAATCGACAGCCCTTATTGCCCACAAGTTACTAGCTAGAGGTGTTGCTAACTCTTAGTGATCAGTGATTAACGACTAAAGACGCCTCCCAAGGCAAGTGTCCTTAAGATCAAAAGGGAAACTGAATTTTATTTACACTCAACCCTGTAAAATATCTTAATCCTAATCTAGACACTTATGTCCTAAGTAAGTACAACTAAGATCTCTCCTATCTGGTGGCTGACACCAGTCAGCCCCCATAAACCGATAAGATATTCTATTCTCTTTCAGTGGAAAATCATCCGTGTGTCTAAGACACAGGGCACCAGGTAACCTGTGCGTGTAACCCCGTTACACCCTCCCCCACCTGACTGACGTTTTCTAAATTTCAATCTAAGCTTGTTCCGGTTTAATGTTCCCATCGAATTTTTATCTTCACCGTGGTTAGTGCACTTGCGGTTCACCTCAGGGTAACAAAATCCGAGTACGATGTCCTCATCATCTGAAGAGTCAAAGACTCCATGTGATTACCTAGAAATGGGGGAGTTTTGGACTATGGTAGCGATACCGGTGTCCCGGGTGATGCAGGGATAGATTCCGATACAGCCATGTCCGAGGTACAACCTCGTACTACCCCTTGTCCGTTCCCTGAACGTGATAATGAGAATTCGCCATTGGCGCCACGCTCATCCTCGGTTCGGATGATACCATCATCAAAAACCCTTTCGATGAGCAGCAAGTGTTACTTCTTCAACAAGGAGAAAGCACTCGGCGCCATACGAAAATGACCGCAACCTCGAGCACCAACGTGACTGTGTGTTCACTTCACCCAGTGTGGAGGAACGCTTACGTCAAGCGGCCGGCCAATCTTTGGCAATGTGGATCATTAATCATAGGCCTATGTCTTCTGAGGAGCTGGCGAGTGGCCAGGCAATTCATGAGAGGTACCGAGAGCCTAACCTAACGACCCAAGGTCAAAACAAGGCACGACTTGACATGCAAGCACGTGGTGCACCGGTCCCACCGATCAAAGGGTATACCCATTCTTTTGTTTGCAGGTGAAACAGAGAACTTAGAAGACAATGCCTTCGTTCGCTGGGTGCACCGCATACGTCGTCTCAGCATTACGTCTGCTCTAAGAGCTGGTGTTAAGGTTGCCGATGTGCGTGCAAGCTCTAGTATGACTATGCCAAGCTTAAGTCCAGAGGCCAATTGCGTAATCCCACGCGTATATGCTTCGACTACTACGGTTGCCGCGAGTGTTGGTCAGACGATGACCACCAACTCGCCAACCCACATGCTAGTGGTGGGAAACGGCCTCGGTCTCAAGATGACCTTGTCCACGATGTTCAAAAACATCCAAAGCACAGGGGCAATCTTGCTGTAGGGGTACCTCGTAATCCCAGGAATTCTCAGACTCAGCTCACTCACGCCACTCTACCATAGGATGGTAGTGGCCATGACGATGACGTCGTTCCAGTAGTCACTCGACATGGAACTGACGACACCCATGCTCATCGAGCAAAGTCGGTGGTGGACGGTGTACCGGTGGCAGTCCACGAAAAATTGGTTCTCGAAGTGAAGCGTCTTCGAGAGACCATGGGTAAGACCCAATGCATGCTTAATGCGATGCAGAGCCGCCTAAGGCGATGGAGAAAGCTCAGACTCGGAGCGAGGCTCAGTTGGACTTGCTGATCCTCTTGCAGCAATTCGGGACACCGCACTCGCCGTCGGCGCCAGCGCCTCAAAGATCGCATGGGAAGGATTACAGTACCGCTTAAGTAACTCTACCTAGAACGCTGGGTGTGTGCGGAATATGCGTGGAAGGTTGAGCGCATACGCAACGCAATTCTTGGAAGTGACCGTAAACGGTCCGATGAAGCGTAGATGCAACATTGTTTTGAAGACAAAGACGCTACATTTGTAGGTAGGTTTTCAGCATTGAGTAATACTTGGTCTCCGACCTTATAACATTCAGCACAACCTCTGTTTTTAGCATCAGCTGGTTTTTTGTTATTATTGGCTATCAGTCATTGCGTCACGCACACGTCGCAAGACATATAATCGCGTTGCGAGAACTCGCCTACCCGTTTTTGAACAGTAGCAGGGCTATTATCAGAAAGACGATCGGCAACCTCTACCCCGCCAAGCCATGAGCCACAGAATGGTAGAGTTAACGGAACGCGAGGGTGGGTGAGACCGTTTACGTAAAACGGAGTGAAGCCTGTGGAGACTTGAACTGCGTAGTTCAACGCAAATTCAACAACAGGGAGCATTAAGGTCGTACGCCGTGGCGTATCAGCGCAAACACTCCGCAATATGTCATTAATGACGCGATTAACACGCTCAGTTTGACCATCGGTCTGCGGATGATTCGCCGTGTACATAAACAACCTGGTGCTCAGAGCCGTAAAAATAGACTTCCAAAAGTTCCAGTGAAACGCGAATCTCGATCCGACACAATTGCCACAGGCGAACCTTGTTGTCGAAATACACGATCGAATAACAGCTTTGCCGTGCCTTCGACACCGTTGGAATCCGGCACAGCCGCTAAATGGACCATCTTGCTCAAACGGTAAACAAAGACCACGATATAAGTGTTGCCTTCCGAATCCTTCGGTTATCCGAATGCAAAATCCATACTCATGGACTCCCAACACCCAGTGGGTACAGGCAGACTAGCCAGCGGCGTAGCCGCATGTGCAGAGGGTTTGAACCGGTGACACTTTTCGCACGTACGCACATAGGTGCTCACCCATTTGTACGTCTTGATACACCAATAAGCCTGATTCATAGAGCCATAGGTCTTCTCACGACCGAGATGACCGCTCAAAGCAGTATCATGTGCCTCACAGAGGATTCGATACTACTACTCCTCGTCATGATGAACAGAAGTACGAGGGATATCCTCAATATCCGTGCGATAGCACAGCAGGCCATTATCAATGGAGTATCGATGTAGCCT